GCTGCTCGAACAACAGCTGCACCAATCACTGCTGCACCAACACCAGCTGCACCAACCACAGTTGCTCGAACAACAGCTGCACCAATAACTGCTGCACCAACGACAGCTGCACCAACCACTGCTGCTCCAACAACAGCTGCACCGACAACAGCTGCACCAACCACTGCTGCACCAACAACAGCTGCACCAACGACGACTGCACCAACAACAGCTGCACCAACCACTGCTGCACCGACAATAACTACACCAACAGCAGCTGCACCAACAACAGCTGCACCAACCACTGCTGCACCAACCACAGTTGCACCAATGACTACTGCACCAACAACAGCTGCACCAACCACAGCGGCACCAACCACAGCGGCATCAACCACAGCAGCACCAACAACTGCCGCACCGACAACTGCTGCACCGACAACTGCTGCACCAACGACAGCTGCACCAACCACCGCTGCACACACAACTGCTGCACCAACCGCTGCTGCACCAACCACAGCGGCACCAACAACTGCCGCACCGACAACTGCTGCAACAACCACTCCTGCACCAAACACTGCTGCTCCAACCACAGCTGCACCCACAACAGCTGCACCAACCACTGCTGCACCAACAACTGCACCCACAACTGCTGCACCAAACACTGCTGCTCCAACCACTGCTGCACCCACAACTGCTGCACAAACAACAGCTGCTTCAACAACCACTACTTCAACAACCACTGCTGCAACAACAGTTTCCTCGACTACAATTGCCAGTGATGCATGTTGTATCAAACTGGGTGTGATCCATCTGTTTCTTGGACTCCTCATCTTCACCATCTCTTAGAACACAGAGAAAGTTGAGACTAAGCACTTGTGTGGCAACCAAAAGATTCTGAAAGGAACCTTTGAAACTTGACCCTGAGTTTATTTCTCACTGCCTTCCCTAGTTAGCAGGTAGACGCTGTGACATTCATGTTTAACAATCTGGATGATGTTGAGGTGGGAAAATTAACTGATAATGATAGCGACATGTACTGGCTTAATCAGTGTTTGACAGAATGTTTCATACTTTCACATCATGCTATTTAATGTGTACCAATGTGATCGGATACCTTTATTTCTATTTATTTTTATTTATGTGTCTAAATGTATTTATTCATGTGTGTTCTTTCATCATTGTTTTAACATTAAATTGTTTCCTTTATGCCTTGATGAATAGGCTAAAGTAATTAAATTAAACATAAGGTGTTTAAATCCACATTAAACCTTTGTTCTGCTGGTCTTATTCAAAAAAGAGGACAGTACAATAATCAGTAATTATTGATAATTATTGAGATCAAACTTTCTATCGTGATACCTTTTTCAGTTATATTGCCATGTCTGTTAAATACAGTGTCTGTTTTTTGAAGGCTTAATTCATTTGTGAACATGCAAAAATATGTAAAGGTTTTTGATTTGGACACAGCTTAATCTGGGGTCCATTTCACAAAGCAGCTGTAGTGACAACTCTGAGTCTGTTAACCCTGAAATGAAGGAAACTGAGTTTTCTGTTCCACAAAGGGAGGTCACTCTAACTAGAGACAGACGGCCAACTCTAACCTGTTTCACAGAGAGAGCTAACTTAAGACCTCAGTCAGTTTCTGTAGCAACAGACTATGAACCTATCCTGGTCAGGACCAAGTTTTCTCAATGAACCTCGAGTTTCTCTCTGTTTCTGCCCTCTTTCAGCCAGTCAGTCAGTCAGTCAGTCAGCAGGCCAGTTTTGGCGTAGCCTCGTTCTGCCGTCTGTCAGAAATCATTAAAACAATCAGAGTCAGTAGGCTGTATCAGAAGTCCACTAGACACAGTAAGTGGAGACTTTTTCCACTAGCATGTCCTTTTGATCACGATCCCGTGGATGAAGGTGCAGTTTTTTTTTTTAGCGTCACCGTTTCACGTCACAGTCCATTATCTACATACAACCTGATCCGTTCTTACATGTGCAGCATCACCAACCGTAGTCATGCTCTCACATCCCAGCAGACACTGTGTGTTGTGCTGTGTTTCTTTGCAAATGGAAGTTTTTTGTACAATGTGGTAGATGCAGAGCACCTGAGTAAGGCTCCTGTATGCAGGGCGGTCAGAGGAGTGGCCTCGCCCTGAACCGGCTTTTACCATCTCTGTGGTTTTCCCTGAACATTCATTCACAGACTGCGTTGATATTGTACCAAAGAGAAGTATGACATAATCATAAATAAAAAGGAATAAAAAGGACCTGCAGTATCTCTCTGACACACCGCGGGTGAAGCAGCCTGTTACTTAGGGGGCTGTCCAGTGTTGTTAAGGTCTCCTGCAGAGGGTGGGATGTGATAGCTTAGCTATCATCCTCCTGTCTCCCACCACCTCCAACGGATTGAGGGGACATCCCAGGACAGAGCTGGCCTTCTTTACCAGTTTGTTCAGTCTCTTCCTGTCTGCTGCAGAAATGCTGCTGCCTCAGCATACAACTACACAGATGTAGCGTAGCAACCTTTTACAGCTGGAACCAGGAAGTTAGAGTATGTAGCAAAACTAAACTTTACAATTAAAATTGCACTCGTTTAAAATCAGGGGTACCACCAAATAGAATTCAGAAAT